TGGCCTTTTCCCCACATCTTAATGCACCACAACCCTCTCATCTCCTGCCCTTACCCAGGCTGTGAGGGGACACTCCAGCCTGGAGCTCCTTCTTCCCCCACTGGCTGCATAACTAAATAAGTAAGTGAGTAAGTTGGGAGTTGCCTATACTCTGTGGACCAGCATCATACAAAAAGGATACTGATACAAGAAATAAATGAGGGCAACCCCCTCAGGTCTCCTCCCACTCTGGGAGCTTTTCTGTACTCTTAATAAATCCTGCTTTCTCAAAAAACAAAAAACAACAACAACAAAAGAAAGAAATGAAATTCTTAGATGCACTTTTTAAATTGTCCAACACATTTCCTACCTAGCCAGACACTTTTTCATACCTCTTTAATCTATAAAAGACTAAGTTCTGACAGCTTAGTTCCAAAATTTGGTACCAGCCCATCAGGAACTGGTCCTTATGCACGTCTACCACCCCTACACATCTCCTTCCTGCTTTTCTTCACTACCTACTCTATTTCCAACATTGTTGGGTTATAATAAGGAGGACTATGACTGAGGCAAGAAAAAACCAAGAGTGCAATAAACAAGAGAGCTGCAAATGGCCAAAAGGAAAAAGAAGACCAAGCCTGGGGAACAGGAGTTAGACAACAGTCTCAAGAAGAGACCTCTGGGAGGAAAGCAGCTAACAACACAGACATCTCAGGAACTATAAAACTCTAAAGGGAGATGGGGATAGCAAAACATAGTGACTGAAAGAACAGGCTCTGAGGTCAGAGCTGGAATGACCACAACTTACCTTAGACAAGTTACTTATTCTCTTTTCTCATCTATCCCATGAGTTATTGTATCAAGCACATGGTAATTTCTCAGTAAATACTAGCTATTCATATTATTTTTATTACTACTACTATTATTGTTAGACACAGGGTCTCACTTTGTCATCCAGGCTGGAGTGCAGTGGGATGATCATAGCTCACTACAGCCTTGACTTCCTGGGCCCTAGGGATCCTCCTGCCTCAAGGTCCCCAGTAGCTGGGACTACAGGCATGTGCCACCATGTCCTGCTAACTTTCTTACATTTGTAGAGATGGGGTCTTACAATGCTGCCCAGGCTGGTCTTGAACTCCTAGCATCAAGCAATCCTTCCACCTTAGCCTCCCAAAGTGCTGGGATGACAAGTGTGAGCCATCGTGCCCAACCCTAACTGTTCCTATTATTAACACTGAGTATATGATGAGGGCAGGGGATAGTAGAGACAAACCAGCAAAACTAGGGCTTGAGAGCAGAAATTACTTCACCAATAGGACTGCAGTTGGCATTGTCCTAGGCTGCACACCAGTTCTTGATACTCAAAGTATGGTCCTCAGAGCAGTCACAATGGTATCATCTGAGAATTTGCTAGAAATGCAGACTCAGGCCCTTTCCAGGTCTCCTAAATCAGAATCTGCATTTTAACAAGAGGGTCAGGTGATTCATCTGCACATTAAAATTTAAACATGGCACTGCCCTAGGTGCCATCAGTTTGGGTGAGTCAGGTAATGACTGCAGCCACTTGGAATTTGAAGGTAGAATAGCCTGTGTTAGGTAACCAAGAAGACCTCTAACTAGAGTTGATCAACAATCCAGTGGACTTGGGAAACTAATCTCTTGGATCAGAAGGGAAGGATTTGGTGAAAGACCTACCCAGGATTAACTGAGGTCATAAATCAGGGCCAGTTATCTATTAGGTAAGCTTCAATGTCAGAATTATTCTGAATGGCAGAAGCTATGAATGAAAGGATACTGCAGGAGATAACACACAGTGGAGGGATGACCACCAGGACCCAAGACAAGAGGACTAGGAGTAAGGGAGGAGAACTAGTCCACAAGGTGGTTTCCATTCATGCTCCTATGCAGGCTGTATGCACTGCCAACACCTCCTTGGCCCACGAAGAGCACACTTTTGGTTCAGCAAGACCCTTTGAGCAGGACCTCCTTATTCCATTACCTCAAGTTCAACGAGCCTGACTGATGGAGAGGCAACCCGGACAAGAGAGAACCCCAACGAGTCTCTCCAGGAAGGTTTGTATCACTTTCCAGATATCCCCTCAGGCTTGAAACATACTTTGTAGGAAGCTGCATTACATTCATTTTATAGAAAAGCAATGTAAATATTACTTTAAAAGTGAAAAGATTCATGTAGAATAACTTAACCAAAATAAATCCCATTGGACAAGATATTTCAGTTCATTCAGGCCTGGAAGTCTAGATGCTGAGAACCCAAAGACTAGGTCTCATCTCTAGACTAAGACCCATCTCTACCCCACAGGGATTTGCTAACAGAGGAGTGAGCATCATGTCTGCATTCGAAGAAGTCCAGTCACTTCTCTGCAAGTCTACTAATAACCCTCAGCCTTCTTTGTACTGAATTTGAATTCATTGTAATCATTTTCTGAAGCTATTTTCTAAGAGTCCAGCATTTTGGTGAGTGATATCTTCATCCTTAGAGAGAAATTAGTATTCATCCTAATTCTTCCTTTTTTGCCCCTTTTACTCATCCCCACTTGCCATGTTCTCATCTCCATATAGTCTGCCTCTTGGATCCTGTGATGTGCTAAAGGAAAAAAAATGCTCCTACTGATCTATGAGAGCCAACTGGTAAATTTCCAGGAATTTGCAAACTGACTGTTAAACACATTCATTACCAAAAATTGTTATAGAAACCTCCAATAGTCTGCCTCTTGGATCCTGTGATGTGCTAAAGGAAAAAAAATGCTCCTACTGACCTATAAGATCCAACTGGTAAATTTCCAGGAATTTTGCAAACTGACTGTTAAACACATCCATTACCAAAAATTGTTATAGAAACCTCCAATTAAGTAAGTTACGTTAACAATATACTCAAAACTCATCACATTACTAAATTTTACTTTTGTCTATGTTCTTGAGCTTATTTAAATCAAATGCATTTCTATCATGGAAATATTATATAACGGTGTGCTAGTGTACATCTCTTCCAATGTCATGTTCAGGAGTACCACATCGGGAACTTGTGATGGGCCATGGTGGTGGTATTTATACCACAAAAATTGGCAAAAGCTACAACTCAGGACTTGGTTTGTTGGTGATTTTTTTTATTGTCTAGACTGAGAACGTAACAGAGAAAATGTTAAAGAAGATTAAGCCTAAAAATGTGTTATGTCTGTAGTTGTTACATTAGGAATAACACAAAAATTGAGAAAATATACTTCCAAATTCAAAAACTATTCTCTGATTCAACAAAGAAGTCACTCATGTCATTGAAAATGAGTGAAGTTAAGGCAGTCACCTTTATTGTTTTATTTTCTTCTTGTCAATGTAAACAAAAATATCAATCAACATTCATGTCAGAACCATACTTGTTGGCCAATTGCAAACATAGGCTGACCAAGAGTACAGAATTCAGCAAAAATCAATTAATGTATTCTGTGAGAATCAATTGGATATATGGAATTTGTAACGATGAATTTATATTTTATTATTTGTAAATTGTATAATATACATCCTTTATATCAATAAAATTCATCATGAACTTATGCACTTATGTAGATGTGTGTTTATCTGGTTTTTGCACAGTGTTGGCAGCACCAGCTTGGGAGGCCTCTCCTTCTCCGCATCCCGCTGTTTTTCCGTGAGGTTAGGCCATCTGTCATCATTCCAGGTTTCATCCCTTCCAATCCCACACCCATATTGCTACCAGAATAATCTTCCTAATATTTAAATGCAATCATGACACACCCCTTATGGCTTTACATTCGCAACACTGCCAGATGTGAATTACCATCAAAATTATCAATGGATCTCTAGGACCTTCTGAATGAAATCCAAGCCGTAGAAGGCCTGTCTTGCTTTTCCCTGTTCACCTCTGCAGTCTCCTATCTTATCACATTTCCACATTCACACTTAATTAAAGTTAGGCCAACCTGCCTGCTGTTCCCAGAATATGCTTTACCTATTCATACCACTGCACCTGTCCAAGTGTTTTCTCTGCTTGGGATGTCTTTCCTCAACTCCCCCGCTCTCACCTCCTGCTAGTTCCCACTCAGCACTAAAACCACCCTCAAGCATCAACTCTTCCAGAAACCTATGCCACCTCCATTTTGGCACTTGCTATCACTGCAGGTTGTCATGCAGGCCCAGCTTTCTTCCCGCTTCCCCGCTCCCACAACTTGGAAGATCCTCTGAGCCAAGAGGGGTATCCCCAGCATCTAGCCCCTGTCTTGACCCCACGAGATACCAATTAAGTTCTTATTGGATGAATAAATTATTTACCTGGTTTCAGAGATAGCCTGTAGCAATTCACAAGGTTTAGCCAGGAGAAATAGATACACAGTTTTAAAAAGTTGTTTAAACTGTTGAAAACTCAACTGAGCTTTTTCTTTCTTTTAAGCATACATATAAAACCAGGTGAATCATTAACTTTTGTTTTTCTTTTCCAATACTTTCTGGAAGTTAACTGGACATAGCCTGAGACTCTTTACTTTAAATCACTAATATTCTTTAAGTACTAACCAATATTTCTGAAAGATAAAGATAGCCATTATTTATTGAGCCATTATTATGCTTCAAGTATGTGCTACATGCCTCACACATGTCACCCCATGTATCCTCAACAAAGCTGTAACACATGGGTCATTATTATCCTCATTTTATAGGTGAGAAAACTAAATCTCTAGCAAATTAAAATATTTTTTTGAATTTGCACAGATGCTGAGTAGCAACGTAGTGATTCAAACAAGGATTGGTCTGATTTTAATGTTCATGCCTTCTCTTATGAGTTCATTCTTTATGCTTAAAAAGCAAGTACAATGTCTATCATGTCCAACCAAAAGCCTGGAACAAATAATACCCCAAATAATACTACAAAGGTCACTCACACAGGGCCTGGTCCAGCTGTGTTATCCTTATTCCCGATACCCAGATCCAGTAAGGGATTTGCCCTTTCCCTGACCCAGATTTATAGGAGAAAAATGAATGATGCCAAGGAATACCTGTGTCCTTTGTCAAAGCTTGCATCCGAAAGTCTCTGTGATCTGGTCTAGGCCTTCGTCATGGGACAGCTTTCCAACAGACTCTCTTGCAAGTCTGTATGCTGAGCTGCCTGCCACCAGTGCTGTTGCCGCTGTCTTTGTTTACTGTTTGTCACTAAGCACTCGCTGCCCAGCACCTGAGTCCACAAGGCCCCTTCCCTTTCCTGCCACCACTCTCATTCCCTGGGCCCAGCGCAGTCTCTGGACCCTTAGCAGGCACAGACACCCCAGCAGCCTGTGTCCTCAAAGCCCGTGACCCATGAGAGAGCCAGTAAGAGCTCAACTGGATTAGGTGACACTGAAGGCAATGGGATTGCGGCTTAGTGGGGCTTTTATATTGATGTCTCTTTATCTCCCAGTCCAATCAAAAAAAAGGACCCTGTGAGGAACAGGGGGCTGGCCCCAGAGCAGAGGCTTAGTTTCATCAACTCAATAGTCCCCCTTGCCCTTTCAAAGTGTCAGACTTTGGACCTGCATGCAACAGGGCCTTAGAAATAAGCACAGGCATAATTAGGAAAGGTTAACCTAGATCTGCCCCTGAGCAGGTGAAAGGAATGTTACTGGAGAAAGGTGAAAAGGAATTCTTATACTCTCTGGGTACCTGGGTTCACAAAGGAATCAGCAGAGATGGGGAACAGCAAGAAATAGATCATAGCTCTGTAGAGGTTGGTAGGGGCAAAAGAAAAGATCTTTTGAGTCCTTTAAATCAATAGAAGTGTCAAAACTAAGAAGTGTTTATTTAAAAAGAAAAATACAAGTTTTTGCTTGACCAAAAAATAAAATAATAAAACTTGATGAAACCCAGTACTGGTGAGGGCATGGTGAATGAGCACTCTCATATGCCAGGAGTTGAGACTGTAGATTAGTGCAACATCTCTGCAGGGAATTTGGTAATATTCATTAAAAGGGTAAATTTACCCTTTGTAAACCCAGCTGCTAGGATATAACTCCATGGACATACTTGCAAAAGTTCACCCAAGCAACCGAAATAAGATGCTCATTGCGGTATATTTTTGTAATAACAAAAATCTGGAAGTCACCAAAGTGTCCATCAATAGTGGTTAAATAAACAAATTGTGACTGGCTGACACTGTAGACATCTAACTACTCAGCTGTGCAAAGAAAGGAGGTATATCTCTGTGTGCTGGCATTTAAGAATTGCCAAGAAAATTTTTTTAAAAATATGAAATAGCACAGTATGATTCCTCATATTATAATTAGGGTCATAAAACCCAGAATATATATGCATAAATGTATATATATTCTTTATCTGGAAGGAATTATCAGAAACTTAATAGTGGTTGCTTTGGGGAAAGAGTTTTGAGTCATTATTTAGTTAGGGAAATTATTGTCCATTTTGGGGGTTTTTCCCCAGTACCTTTTTCATTATATTGCTTTAAAAAAGAAACTAAAATCCACTTTATAATGGTCTACAAAATTGATCTTTTTCCCCCTTAAAGCTGCCTATTCTGGCATTTACTGGTAGCTAGCAAAACATTTTACAACACTTTCAATGATCTTGTACTGTTTCTCTCAAACTTGTCTAACTCATCAGTCTACCTGGAACCTGATAAAATACAGATTCCCAGATACCATCCTGGACCTGCTAAAGCTGAGTCTCTGGAGCAGAGCCAGAGACATCTGTATTTTCAGCAAGTGCCCAGGTTATTTTTATTTAGTAACCTGTTCAGGCCAACCATGCACATTGGTGAAATTGAGACCCAGAAGGAGAAAGTGAACTTCTCCGGTCATGCAGCTGGTTCACAGTAGGACAAAATGCCCCGCCTATGTCTCCTGCCACCCAGGTCAATGCTTATCTGATTAAAGTCACCAGCACCTTCACGTTTTCTGTTAAAAATATTAGCACTCAACAGTAATTGCCTTCTATAGCTGCTCTGCTGACATTTCAGTAAGTAGAGAAAAAAAATCCTAATTCAGTATTGAAATGTTTGAGTTTGCATATTTTAAAATATTCAATTGTTTCACTTTAAAAAATTGTGTTTATTCAGGTTTACACAGAGTTCTTGGAAGTGGGGTATATAACTAAGTAGAATTCAATACTAAAACCAATTGCTAGTTATGACCTTGGTTCACCAGAGAAACACAACCAAAAGGCTATATATATTTATAAGAAATTGGTTCATATGATTATGGAGACTGAGTAGTTCCACAGTCCATCTACAAACTGGAGATCCAGGACAGCAGGTGATTACTTTCAGTCTCAGTCCAACGGCCTGAGAAGCAAGAGAGCTGAGGGCGTAAGTGCCAGTCAAAAGGCAGGCCAATGGACCCAGCTCAATAGTCAGTCACAGAAAGAGTGTGCAAATTCTCCCTTCTTCTCTCTCTTTGTTCTATTTGGGCCTTCAGCAGACTGGGTGATGCCCATCTACGTTGGGGAGAGCATTCTATTTTACTTAGTCCACCAATTCAGATACTAATCTCATTGGGAAACACCCTCATGGGCACACCCAGAAAAATGTTTACCCAACTATCTGGGCACAACCCATGATCCAACCAAGTTAACACATAAAATTAGGCATCAAAAGTCTAGCTCTTGTCTACTTGACACCCATATAAATGTCTTTAAACCACACTTAATCTCCAAACAAAGACAACAACTAAGGCATTATCTCATCTAATATACTACTGTAATGCACACAATTAAAAACATAACTCCTTCCCCAGAAGACGAGGTAAAATCCTCAAGTGATGTTTATTCCTCTTCTTGATGTACCATAACTTAAATACTTGATGTAAAATTAACAATGTTTAAATATTATGATAGTCAATATATATTAGGTTATATAACAAGCAATAAGAGAGAAAAGAAAACAGTTTATACACACACATACACACACACACAAATATATTCACAACAAAATGAGAAAACACTTATGACAATTACAGTTCCCATTTCTGTAACTGGTCACATGGTCATTGCTGGTATTTATAACTACCTTCTTCCACTCCATTCTGTATTCCCCTTTGCTTTTACTAATCATCTCAGTTGGTCATGATTCTTTACTTGGTGAGGTGACAATATCCTTAATTTCTTAAGATTCTGAGTCATTAGTAACCCTGCCAAATGGAATTGTTATTGTTTTCCATCAACTTTAATCACGGGGCATGGTAATAATAAAAGATACCCTGAGGGCTCTCCAGTATTCCAGACATTTTCCCTACCCCTTTGTGAGGCAGTAGTTCCATTTCCCCTTGACAGTCAGGATCAATCACCCCAGTCAACACAGTAACTCCCTTCTTTGCCTGTTGATTCAGAGACATGAGGAGTTCAAAGCAGCCTGGTGGCAGTCTTAACTTCCAGTTCAACTGAGTAATTATTGTGTCTGCTGGTGGAGGCATTCCTCCCTCTGGAACTAAGGTTTCTCAGCTAGTACAACATAAAGTCGTAGGAACAGGAAACAAAAGTTTTGCTAGTGGGTCACTAGGGGTAATACCATTCTCATTTCTACCCCTTGATACCTGAACTCATAAATCCTGGCTATGGGACAGACAGCACCATATATTAAATGCTGATTCAGAGCATATATGGCCTCCTGGTAAAAACCTTTCCTAGCTTTGCAAGGTATTGCCACCTAGGTAGTGTTGTAAATTAGTCTTCAAAGACCATTTCAGGCTGAGTATGTTGGCTCACACCTGTTATTCCAGCACTTTGGGAGACTGAGGTGGGAGGATCACTTGAGTCCAGAAGTTTGAGATCAGCCTAGGCAACACAGGGAGACCTTGTCTTTACAAATTTTTTTTTAGAAGTTAGCCTGGCCTGGTGGTGTGCTCCTGTAGTCCCAACTACACAGGATGCTGAGATGGGAGGATCACTCAAGGCCAGAAAGTCAAAGCTACTGTGAAGTGGGCTTATGCCACTACACTTCAGTCTGGGCAATAAAGTAAGACACTGTCTCAAAAGAAAAAAAAAAAAGACAAAGACCATCCCTTCCACTGTTCTACAAAAACAACTGTTTCAGGATAGTGGGGAATATAGTAAGACCAATGAATTCCATGAGCATCAGCCCATTGCTGCACTCCTTTTGCTAGGAAGTGACTTCCTTGACTAGTAGCAATGCTGTGCAGAATACCATGATGGTGAATAAGGTATTCTATAAGTCCATAGACAGTAGTTTTGGTAAAAGTATTACATGTAGGAAAGATGAATCCATATCCAGAGTAAGTGCCTATTCCCATAAGAACTAACCAAATGCCTGGGCATCACATGACCCAGACAAGTTGACATATAAAATTAGTCAACGTGACCCCTTATTTTTTGTTTATATTAAAAATATGTCCAATATGTAAAGCATCAAAAATTGCAAATTCAATCTAAAATAATAAAGTTTTATTATTCTAAATAGAATCTAGGACCATCATGCATTACTGGCGGGAATATAAAAAAATGATACAGACACTCTGGAAAACAGTTTGGCAGTGTCTTACATATTTAAACATAGTTTTGGTAGTAATTGAACTCCTGGACATTTGTCCCAGAAAAATGAAAACTTCTATCTAAACAAAAATATGTACATAATTGTCTGTCAGCATTATTTACAACCACTAAAAATTGTGAACAAACCCAGATGTCTTACAATAGGAGAACGATTTAAAAAAAAACAAAACCCTATGGTACATCCATACCATGGAATCCTATTCAGCAATGAAAAGGCGCATGCAACAATTTGGATGTATTTCAAGGGTACCATGCTGAATTTAAAAAACCAGTCTAAATCAGTCACATACAGTACGACCCCATTTATGTAACATTCTTGAAATGACAAAAGATGGAACTAGAAAACAAATTAGTGGTTGCCAGGAGTTAGGGATGGTGAAGGGATCTTTGTAGCAGTGGAATAATTCTGCCTCTTGATTGAGACTGTGGTTATGCAAATCTACACAAGCAATAAAATGGCAGAACTGTATACACATGTTGTACCAGTGTCCGTTTTTTGTTTTGATATTGCACTGTTGTTATGTCAGATGTAACCATCGGGGGAAACTGGATGAAAGGGACATGGCCCTCTCCATAATACCTTTGCAACTTTCAGTGAATCTATATTTATTTCAAAATAAAAAATCAGAAAATACGCTTGATTCATGAAACAGAGGGTAACTTGGAGGGCATGTCCCTGCTCTAGCTACTGCCTACAGGACTGAACAGTAACAACCCGGGCATTGGCCCAACAGTCATGTGAAGTGCCCAGCACTGTGAGAGAGCAGCCACGAATAAGGCACAGTCCTGCCCTCAAAGGGCTGTACTGTGGGTTCTGCTGACCTGAGAGATGATTTTGTGCTTCTATGATGTG